AGTTCACTTTGTAAGTATGTTTTTCGTAGAAATCACTGATTGATGACAAGTAACTTACAGCAAACTAATCGTTACCACACCGTTTTATAAAGAAATGTTTACTCATTCATTGAACTTCAAAAAAATCATTTCATAACTTCTAGAAATAATTGAACCCATATTCGGAAACAAAAGAAATGTTCTGCTTCTAACCTCATGTTTTCAAATTTTTGCTGACTTCGATAAAAGTTTAACAAAGGAACGAACATTTTTTTTTTCAAATTATTTCTCGATTGCTCATTACTTATTTTCTAATTTATTCTATGAGCCACGCACCAGCCATCTTGCAACGTGTAACATTTAATTCCCCTATAAAAGACATTTTCGAGAAGCAATGAAAATTACAATTTTCGAAAATTTTTACAACTCGTAAACATATATGAAAGTAAAACTTTAGCTTAACATACATATATTCAATATGTTGAGCGTAAGTAGTAAATCATTTTTATATAACTATCAAGACTTAAGTATTAGTCGATTAGTGAACGTAAGCAAGGAAAAAATATCATGCACTAGTATGAAAAGAGTTTAATATATAATCTAATGAGTTAATACAGAACGTTCTCTAGATATCATATGTCTTTAATAAAAAGAAATTTCAGAAAAAAAATCCAGCTTGTCCTATCGTATTGCTCATTGAACGCAAGAGAGGAGGTGAACAGTATAAACAATTTCTATATGCATCACTTCAAATCTATGCTTCATGTACATCTCATTAAAATCAACGAAAAAATTTTTTCTTTACAGTTCTGACAAAAGAAAAAGAAATGGTTAAATATTAATAAATGCAATTTTACACACACATACACAAAACTTTTACTAATAATATCGCCGCATATAACATCCAGACAACTATTCATCGTCGTTACCTATTGATTGCATAAAAGATATGGCACAAATGTATATTCTTGCAAATAAAAAAAAAACCTACACTTAGCTTTTATTCATCTCATACCCATCATATATAAATAAATGACTTTTTGATTGGACTAAATGCGTTCGACAAAATAATATATTCGACCTATCGCTATCGAGAGCGATAGCAAAGAGGGGGAAAAAAGCAAAGAAAGAAACAGAAAAAAAAAGAAAGCAACAAGTCGTTATTGCCAATATATCGAAAGTCATTTATATAGGCTCCCAAACGGCCATTATCTCAAGTTGATTGCACCATTACGGATACAAAGAATCTCATCGACTATTCAATTGACTAACTTTCAATCATCTCATCTGGTCTATCTAATTCCTTCTCAATTACCATTTGCTCTTTCTTCTATGTGCTCCCATTAAATTCACTAAACGATGTTCGTCAAGACCGATTATCGCCGCTATTAACGTCGTTAAAGTCCCGCGTGTGTACTTAATTATCGGACAAATGGCTACCTTCTCCAGTACTTCTGCTGCTATTGCTGCTGCTTCTAATGTATTGTCAACACCGTCATCATTAGGCTATCATCATTTATTTTCAACATCAAATAGCAGCAATAATAATAATAATAATAATAGTAGTAACAGTACATCATCTGATGAAAATACAACACAAATAGCAACGATTAATAATGTTAATATTAATAATTCATTTGATACAAATACATCATATTTAAATAATACTGATTTTCCATTATGTTTATCATCAAATCAACAAACAAATCCATTTGATGCTGTTGTATCAACATCAACATCACCTTCTTCACATTTTAATCATGATCCACTTGTACGACATTTTTTAAATTATAGACAAAATGATTCAAATCTTACAAGTAATTATTATACTAATATGTCAACAGGATCATTTGTTAATGCATTTGATTATCCATATACAAATATAACACCAACAACAGGTCTTACTTCGGATACAAGTGGATCAAGTCATGGTTTTACATCAACATTAACATCAAATAATTTACAACAACATCATCCTCATTCTCATTCATTTATGAATTCTTATATATCATATACACATCCTCAACAACAAATATTAAAACCAACGGATACATTTTCAATGTCAATCGAACAACAACAACAACAACAACAACAACAACAACAACAGCAACAACATCATCATCATCATCCAGGAAATCAACAACAAAATATTTATCCATGGATGAGACGTATTCATAATAGTTGTGGTAAGTTTTATGTCTTATTTAAGTTTCAAACTGAAAGGAAGAAAGATAGAAAGAGAGATATGAAATTCTATTCGTTTCGTCGTTTTCTTTTTGTTTATATATTCTAACATCGACATTTTTACCATATACACACAATCTTTTTTATGGGCTATTTATGTCGTTCTCTTGCGCGTGAGAGGAGATTTATGGGCTCGTTCTGGTCGGGACGAATGAATAAATGAGTTTGTATATACATAGATATGACGTTTGCCTTGCAATCTGATTGGGACAAAAGATACGAGAAAAGGAAACACACGCATACAAGATGATGCCGACTCATTGTCAAAGAATCAACAGATGGTTCTAATGGTCATGTAATCGATGAGACTATGTAGAACAATAGTAAAAAAAGAAGAAAAAAAAGGCATCAAACATGTCGGTGTATATATATTCAGGAAGTCCTATGTTAAGAGAAAACTATGCAATGTCAAGTGCGTGTGAGATTAATGTCTTTTCTTTTTAGTCAAATTTCATTTTTGTGTTTTTTATCTGATGATATGCAAAGAAAAAGCAACCAAAAAAAAAATAATGATCTATGAATTTTTATCACGCGATTTTAGATCCACATATTGGTGAAACGAAACGAACACGGACATCATATTCAAGATATCAAACACTTGAATTAGAAAAAGAATTTCATTTCAACCGGTTTGAATTAAATTTGATGACAAAAAAAGGATTAATTACTAATATTTTTTTTGTAATATTTCAACGTAGATATTTATCACGAAGAAGACGAATTGAAATTGCACATAGTCTTGCATTGACTGAACGACAAATTAAAGTAAAAAAAAATCAATATACTACATATTTTTCTTTTAAAAAGATACTTTTTTAGATTTGGTTTCAAAATCGGTATAAAAAAGAAATTCTTTTTTCTTTGTAATAAATTTTATTTTCGTCTTTCCTCTAGTCGAATGAAATGGAAAAAAGATAATAAATTACAAAGTTTAAATGACATAAGTAAAAATGAAGATAAAGCTATATCACTTAATATAAAACGAGACAAACAAGAAGCATCATCAACAACAACCACAACGACAAATCGTATGATTAATAATGAACATCGTCAATCATCATCATCATCATCAACTCCAAATAGTTTGAATTGAAACTTTATATTTTTCAATTTCTATAAGAAATTTCTTCCGAGTTTTTTTTTTTTTGTTTGTTTGTTTGTTTTTCTTTTCTTCTTTTTTGTTCCATTTACTAACATATATATAATTATTATCATTGACAAAATTTAATGTACTCCGATATTTGTTTAATACAAATTCATGTTTTTTTTATTCAAGAGACCGAGATGGATTACTTTGCATAGTTAGAAGATAACACATTCAAAATTTAATATGAAAATTGATTGAATACTTTTAATAATAGAAAATTTGATCAATACTGGATTAATATAAAATAAGAATGTATGTTTTACTCTCACTTTACGTAAGAAATCTGTATAGACAATTATATATTATCCTGTGCAGTAAGCGTGAACTCAATTTGCATAGAAAGATCATTTACTTTTCTTCGATATTACTGACAATTTCTAGTACGATCATGTACAGTTATGCATGTATTACTTCGTTTAGTAGATCAAAAGGAAATAACTGCTTGATATTCAATTGAATCGAATCTCTAAGCATTTAGTCCATAAAAACGACTATTTATTATTTACATCTTCTATAATAAAGTTTATTATTAGTACGAAAGTTACTACTGAAGTTTAGATTATTCTTGATGAATAATAAACTGGTACTATCTGTCTGCTGGGAATGTCTTTGGTCATTTATAGGATCTCACTGTTGCTTGGGATCATCATGACTAAATGGCTGTCTTGTTTGATAGGTAGTCACTAGATATCGTGTCAAAACCTCGATGTCACCAGCTATAAAATGATCTGAATTTGTCACTAACAACCGTTTGTCTCGAATTTCTCGTCCGATGCAGGCTGACTACAAAAAGTAGAGGATATTCTTCGTTCCACTGCTGGTTTGCAATGATGAGAGGGATGTGAGATAGTGTTTTCATTAATGGTAGAAGCAAAATAGCATTCGAACATAAAACATAGACTTATTGGAAGAGCTCAGTCGCAATAGTCTTGCACTTAATGACGAATACAATCGAAACTAAGCCGGCAATCCTAGAAAATTCTATATCGGACAAATTGCTGTAGCGCTGGAAATCTATGGTAACCAAATAAGAAGTTCCCCGAGAGAACATTTTTTTCATGGAGCTTTTGTGTTTTTTTATACTTTATTCTTTCATCCAATACCGCAAGATAGACGCTTATTTAATAACAACAATATACAATCAATCAGTGATTTAGACCATTCATAGCTTTGAAAGAAACCTTCATTTGTTAATCGAATGGATATAAAGAGACAGAGGATTATATTCTTCGAACTGATCAATACAAAAATCTGATACTCAACATAAACATTAGCATTCTAATACCTTTAAAATATGCCCAAGAAGAAAACTCAAAACTTGCGCAACACAAAACAGTGTGGAAGCCTTTTAGACAGTCTCTATCAAATAATTTATATTATTGTGTTATTTCTATATGCAATTGCAATACTTTATGCACATAAATATACATAAAAATAATTTTATAGAAAGAATGTCTATCATCATAAACAAAAAAAAAGTAAAAATAATAACTTTGAAAATTCAAATACAATGGTGCAAGAAAAAAAACTGAAGATTAAATATTGCCGTTTTTTTTTGACAAAAGAGATTCACTATTGATATACTTGAGAAATAAACATAAAAATTCCAATATCATAATATTAATTCATATTATCTTGATGAATTTAACCAACGCTAAATAACCAAAAAATCAAATTCTAAAAAAAAAATATTCGACTTTTATTTTTATTTTACTTACATTCTGACTTTTTTTTTCATGATCAATGATTAATGATTTTTCATCATCAGTATAACGAAGAAGTGCACAAATGACTTTCACCATAGTCTTAAAAAAAGGATTATTAGTCTATTGATCTATTGATTATGTATAACATACCATTCGATCAGTTCCTGTCATATAAGCAAAAACAATCTGTTTTAAATAATCAATTTCAGTTGGTTCGACTATACATGAATGTAAAGTATTATTTGCATTCGTTTGAGAAGCATTTGATTTTGAATCTAAATATCAAATAATAAGTATTAATAAACATCTATTTTCTCTTTACCTTCGATATTGGTTTGAGCAGCATGATCACTTGTTCTATAAAAAAAAATAATGTTTTTGATTCTATAGTAGAACAGTGCATTGCAGCCACGCTTCTGCGAGGTTATTGTTATAATAATATCTATAACGTCGCCATGAGCATATCTAGAGATGTGTGCGACTAAAACTTTTAGGTTTTAGTCCTGATCTTAGCAAATCTTCAAATCTTGGTTTCACACATCTCTATAAATGTCTGTTTTATTTTGTTAACTTACTGAATAGGAATGTTTTCTCTATTGTTTAAACTTTCTAGCATTGTTTGAAGATCATGTATTTGATTTTCAAGTTCATGAATACGATAAGTTTCTGTTTGTTTTTCCTAGAAGATTTTATTTTGTTATTTATTTAAATAAAAATCCAAACTAACGAACTTTTAATTGTTCTTCAGTGATTGATGCTCGTTGTTCAGCTTCGATAATTTTTTGTTTTATATTATTTTCATTTTGATAACTTTTATCTAATTAAAAAATGCGAATTAATTTTAAAAAAATTGAAAAAGTTTTGTGAAACTTTACCAATTAATTCTTGAAGTTGTTGATTGAATTGTTTTTCTTTTTCTTCCATTTGTGAGTTTATTTCTTTAGTAATAGATTTTAATTTTGCACTATATTCTGCTTCTTGTTCTTTTAATTTCTGTTCATATTCTTCAGTAAGTATACGTAAACGAATTTCTAACAAAAAAAATTATTTTTTTTTGTTTTTTGTAAAATAACTATTAATGTTTAGAAATATACCTAATTCTTGATTATGTGTTTGTTCATTATTAGTTATAGTTTCTTTCATTTTATGTAATGCTTTACGTAATTTTGTTCCACTTTCTTGAGTTTGTTTAAGAGTTAGTTGAAGTTCTTGAATTTTTTCCTCACGTTCTGTTAATTGTTGATCTTTTTCAATATATTCTTGTTCCAAAACTAATTTTTGAGAATCGAATTCAGTTATACGACGAATATTTTCTTCATTAGTATTTCTTAATGAATCAATTTGATTACGTAATGTTTCGATTTCTGATCGAACAGAATCCCCTTCAGTCTAAATCAAATAATCGATTTCAATTATATTAGTCAGAATTAGTCACAATTACATTTTTTCGATTCAAAAGGTATTCAATTTATAATATATATGTATATCATATACCAGCTCGTCTTGTTTTTGACTCGAATCAAGTAGACTAAACTTTTTAGGGTAAATGGTATTTTTCAATTTATTTGACTGTTTATATAATGGTAAATAAATTATTTGCTGTGAGAAATACATTGAACAATTAATTACAGTCTTCACGAAGGAGATAAATGCAGCATCTGTGCATCATATTTTATCATAAAGTGCCGAAAAGGTGCTGAAGTGCTCATATAGTTGTGGAAAATAAAATAGAAATTCAAATGATAGGTAAGATCAGACTAATAGTTCCAATTCGTGTTTTTTTTCCAATCAAATTAAGACTATTTTTCGAAAATAGTGAATTCGTATCAAGTTTGATCGAAAGTCTTCGAAAATAACAGATAAACGTTAATGAAATCTGGTTGAATCTCGAGAAATGGACTTCTCATAACAGAAAAACTGAACTCGAGAATATCGACCAATTATTTGTAGATTCGAATTCTTCGACCTTGAAAATTATTGATCTAACTTCAAAATATTTTTTATATATTAAGTGAAAAAATTAATTTTGAATACCATAATCTCAAATTGTTTTTTATCTTATTTTCTAAAACTATATGAACACCATTAATAAGATTCAATAATAAAAGGTGCTACAGTGCTGAAGGTTTCAAGCTTGAATTTTTCCTGTTGATTTCAATTGTTTGCAAACGTTTTAAAAAAAGTTTTGTTGTTGTTTTAATTTTTGTTTGAGTAAAAGCTAAATATTAGTTATTATTTAATCGAAATAGGTATATCTTATAAGTTTGTTCTGGAAGTAAACCATTGATAAAAACATTGTACTGTGGATATTTTGGTTGAAAAAATGCTATGGTTCGAGAATTACATTTTAATGGAAAATATTTTTTTTTCTATCGTAGCAATGACGGATCCAGAGAGTTGCGGAAAGGGAGCCAATCATCGTCACAAAACGTCTTTTGAAAGTGGTATGGGTTCACTTTCAGGCATTTTCTGCTGAGAAAAATTCAAAAAATCTTTTAGGAGGGAGGCAATTGTTCTGAATGCTTCCCGTTTGCAAATAAGGTGGCGGTTAAAGAGCATATAGTAATCATGATTTCACGAGGGAACTGTCTCCGGTACAATCCACCGTTTGAACTCATATTGGAACCACTGGTAGATATCAATGAGACTAGCAAAAACCTAAATGAGTTCGTCTCTATGAGTCTTTATCACAAAGTGATGACCAGTTTAGTGAGTAGTTCCTAGAAAATCAAATAGCAAAATTTCGACCTAACACTTGGTCTACATATAGGTCTAAAGACTCGTAGAATCTTCTGAAAGTTTTAGCCGAAAAGAATGTTTTGTCGTCAAGATATTGAATTCCAAAAAAAAGTCTTTTGTCACAAAAATCGAGTTCATGTATAAATTCAATGACTTGACGAAGAAACATACTTTTCGACTGGATCTGTCCGGAGATTCTAATAGTCATTAGACCTAACTATACAGAAAATTTTGCACAAAACTCTGTTATGTGTTCGATGCCAGGTGCTTACGAGAACGAATCCTTTTAGGTTTTAGCTAGTCTGACGAGACCCGTCTATGGATCCAGTATGAACTTGAATGGCAAGTATTACTTAATACCTGAAGTTCTTTAATTTTCTTTTCAGCTTGTTCAAGTTTATTCAAATTTTCTTGCTTTCTTTTATTCATAGTTGTTTCTGTTGTTTGCATTTGTACTCTAATTGTATCTAATTGATTTTCTAATCCAGCTTTTTCTGATAAAAGGTTATTAAATTTTTCTTCTAATGCTGTATGTACTTCAGTTAATTGTTTTCGTTCGAATAAAAGTTGTTCTTTTTGATTATTATTTTCTGTTAAAGAAATTCTTTCTTGGGAAAGTTGTTCAATATCATTAATTTTTGTTTGTAATGTTTGTTGAACTTTATTAAGATTTGTTTGTAATGAAGAAATTTCATTTGTTTTAGATTTTAATTCATCATTTAAGTCATTTAATTCACGACGAAGTTCATTATTAAGAATTTCTTGTTGATTAAAATTTTCTTGACACTGAGATATTTGTTCATCTTTTTCAATTAATGACTTATTTAATTTTATTTCAAGTTGTTCATATTGTTTAGTTTTATCAATAAATTGACGTTGAATATTTTCAAGTTGAATATCAATTGAATGTTTATTTTTTTTTAATTGTTCATAGGATTCATTTACTTGATTTAGTTGATTTTCATATTTATTTTTATTGGTTATTAATTCTTGTTTTGTTTTATTTAATTCATCTTTAATATCATCATATTGTTGTTCTAATTGTTGTAATTCATTATGAATATTTATTTGTTCAGATTTTTGTTTAATTAAATCATTATTTAAACGTTCAGATTCAGTTATTAATAATTGATATTGTTCCATTTTATGTACAAAATGTTCAAGAAGTTCATCATGATTAGTTGTATTAACACCGAGTATATTTTTCAAACGTATTATTATTTGTGATTGATGATTTTGTTCATCAAGTAAATGATCAAGTTCAGAATTTTGTTGTAAAATTTTTTTTTCATATTCATGAAGTTCTTTTCGTAAATTTTCAATCGTATCTTGATGAGAATCAATTTCTTCACTTTTTTCATGAATCATTGAAAGATATTCAGATTTTAAATTTTCAAGTATTTGTTGATGCTCTATAGTTAATCGTTCGATACATGATTGTTGTGCCTGTTTTAAAGAATTGCAATTGAATTGTTCATCGACAAGATTTTGTTTGAGCGTTTCGATCTGTACAAGAGAACAAGAAAGAAGAAATTTGATTAATTAATAATATCATTATGTAAGGAGTGAGTACCATGATGATGAACTCTTCAGAAAAAAAAGAGCAGATAGTTCGATAAATCGAGATGAATTTTTATAGAACAATATAAGTAATGGGCTCCTTAACATATTTTCTAACTTATAGGGACTTTGAAGAGCAGTGTCTCGACTAGAACTCTATATGCCTCAAATAAAGTCTTCCCATTGAAATCTTCAGAAAAAAAATGTCATTTCCGAAATCGTCGCTTCACACTTGTCTTTAACTAGTTGCAATTAATATTCAGTTATCGACTTGATTATTCTATTAATATATACTAGATATGAGTGTATAGGAAACCTATCAGATCATGTAAGCAGTCACGATCGAGTGATTACATTGTTCGACATGTATTCACAAAATACTGTGTGCAAATCTCAGTATTACCAGCCATGGAATGAATCTGGACATGTCAACAACGGCTATTTGTCTCGGATTTTCTACCCGATAGCATGCTGACTACGTTTTGTGAAGAGCTACAGTTAGTCATAGCTGTTGAGACGATTCTGGGCTATTGAAATATGTTATGAGGCAGCACCCAGTACCATAAGATAGTTGAAAGGCAGACGTATTCTTCCTATCAATCCACACCTTTTAATGCTTCAATTTCATCTTAAACAATATACGGATGGTATTCAAACTAGTATGAAACTTACTACCAAGTGTTCAGAGTGTACAAAACATACTATTTAGTAATCATTTCTTTTCATGTTAGATTTTTGACTGTTATTGCTCATATTTCCATCAATAAGGTAAATATCAGATGTATATTCAGTTAACAAAATATCTTATTAAATTCTCTTCAGAAATCAATTAGACACATAAGTGAGGAACTGAATTCACAAATTTCCTCGTGAGATGAATTTTTATGAACTAACTAAGGGACAAAGTGCTTTCGGATTTCGAATCCTGAATGTGCCGTGGGACGAAACAAATGGGATCTTTTAGAATTCAAGACTGTTTCGCACAGCTCTGAGAGTAACCTCATTGGAGAACTTTGATCTGTACCAGAAAGGAGACAGTCGTATTTTTATCTAAGTCTTTTTTGTCTTGAAAAAAGAAGGAGTTTTTTAGAAAACATTTATACCTCTATTTTTGTCTGTTCTAGTAATTGTCGATCAGTAATTTGTGATTCTTCGAATGCTTCAATAGTTTGTTTTAATTCTTCACATTGATCCGACATTGTTACATTTGTTCTTTTAATTTCATCAAGATTATTTTTTAGTTGAATGATTTCATTTTGTTTTTCGTCAAGTTCTTTTTTTATATGTTCATATTTCTCATCAATTGTTAGATTAGTTTCTTTTAATTGACTTATAATAGCAGTAAGTTGAACAATTTCTTTTTGCTTTTCTTCGAGTTGTTTGTTAACTTGTTCATGTTCGTTGATGATTTTTGAATAGTTTATATTCATATTATCTATTGTTTGTTTAAGTCCAATTATTTTGTTTTCACTTTCTTTAAGTTGCCCTTGAACTTGTTCATGTTCGTTAATAAGTGTTGAATTTTTAGTTTTTATTTCATCATTTAATATAGTTAACTGATTAAATTCATTTTGTTTATCTTCAAAGAGTTTTTCATATTGTTGACATTTATTATTTAATGTAAGATTAGTTTGTTGCAATTGATTAATAGTTGTTGTAAATTGATTAATTGTATTTTCTTTATCTTTAAGGTCATTATCAAATTGTTTATTGAGTTGGACATTCGTTACTTTCATTTCATTGATAACAGTTGTAAGATGATTAATTTCATTTTGTTTATCTTCAAGCTGTTTTTTACTTTGTTCAAGATTTTCATTTACTTTTGAATTGTTTTCTTTTATTTCATTAGTAATGCTAGTGAAATGATCAATTTGATTTTGTTTATCTTCAATTAGTTTTTCAAATTGTTCACATTTATTATTTGACATCAGATTAGATTCTTGTAGTTGATTTATAGTAGTATTTAGTTGATTAATTTCATTTTGTTTATCATGAAGGAGATTTTTAATTAGTTGTTGTTCTTCACTGGTTTTTGTATTTGTTTCATTAATTGTTGCATTGAGTTTAACAATTTCATGATGTTTATTCTCGAGCTCATTTTCAATCTGTTTTTTGAGTTCGACATTTGCTGCTTTTATTTCACCGACCACAGTCGTAAGACGAATAACTTCATTTTGTTTATCTTCAAGCTGTTTTTTAACTTGTTCAAAGTCTTCAGTTATTTTTGAATTTTTCTCTTTCATTTCATCAGTAATTCTAGTGAAATGATCAATTTGATTTTGTTTATCTTCAAGGAGTTTTTCATATTGTTGACATTTATTATTTAGCGTTAAATTAGCTTCTTGTAATTGATTAATAGTTGTTGTAAGCTGGCTAATTGTAATCTGTTTGTCGTCAAGTTGCTTGTTAATTTCTTTATATTCGTCCATAATTGTTGAATGTTTAGTTTTTATTTCATCATTTAATATAGTTAACTGATTAAATTCATTTTGTTTATCTTCAAGGAGTTTTTCATATTGTTGACATTTATTATTTAATGTAAGATTAGTTTCTTGTAATTGATTAATAGTTGTTCTAAATTGATTAATTGTATTTTCTTTATCTTTAAGATCATTATCAAATTGTTTATTGAGTTCGATACTCGTTACTTTCATTTCACTGATAACAGTTGTAAGATGATTAATTTCATTTTGTTTATCTTCAAACTCTTTTTTAACTTGTTCAAAGTCTTCAGTTATTTTTGAATTTTTCTCTTTCATTTCATCAGTAATTCTAGTGAAATGATCAATTTGATTTTGTTTATCTTCAAGGAGTTTTTCATATTGTTGACATTTATTATTTAGCATTAAATTAGCTTCTTGTGATTGATTAATAGTTGTTGTAAGTTGAGTAATTGTAATCTGTTTATCGTCAAGTTGCTGGTTAATTTCTTTATATTTGTCCATAATTGTTGAATGTTTAGTTTTTATTTCATCATTTAATATAGTTAACTGATTAAATTCATTTTGTTTATCTTCAAGGAGTTTTTCATATTGTTGACATTTATCATTTAATGTAAGATTAGTTTCTTGTAATTGATTAATAGTTGTTGTAAGTTGAGTAATTGTATTTTCTTTATCTTCAAGTTCATTGTCGAATTGTGCATTAGTTTTGACATTCGTTGCTTTCATTTCATCAATAAGATTCGTTAAATGAAGAACTTCATTTTGTTTATCTTCAAATTCTTTTTTAGTTTGTGTATGTTGTTCTATGTTTAATTTATATCTAGCCTTGAATTCATCGATGATTGTACTAAGACGAGTAATTTTATTTTCTTTTTCATTAAGTTGACTTTGAATTTGTTCATAGTCTTTATTAGTTGTTGTACTAGTTTGTTTTAATTCATTAGTTGTAGATTGAAGATTATTAACTTCATTTTGTTTTTCATGAAGTTCGTTTTCAATATGTTTATATTTATTATTCAGTTCGATATTGATTGCTTTTATTTTATCGATAACAGTCATAAGATGATTGACTTCATTTTGTTTATCGTCGAATTGTTTTCTGATTTGTTCAAAGTCTTCAGTTGTTTTAGAATTTTTTTCTTTCATTTGATCTGTAATCAGAGTAAGACGATCAATTTCATTTTGTTTATCTTCAATTAATTTCTCGTATTGTTCACATTTACTATTTAATGTTAGATTAGTTTCTTGTCGTTGGTTTATAGTAGTAGTCAGTTGATTAACTTCATTTTGTGTATCTTCAAATTGTTTTTTAATCTGTTCACTTTCTTGGATGATGGTTGCGTTTATTGCTTTGATATCATTCATAGTAGAATTAAGTTGTATGATTTCATTTTGTTTTTCTTCAAGTTGTTGTATATTATCTTGTAATTGTTTGGTTATAAGTTTAAATTCTTCTTGTAATTTAGTTAATTCATTTTGTGTTGATTTGAGATTTTCGAAATCATTTTCCAGTTGTTCAATATGAATAGTTTTTTGTTTAGATTCATTTTCGTATTGATTTAATTGTAGTTTTAGTTGATTGATTTCTATTTGTTGTTGATCAATTTGTGCGTTTAGATTTTCAATTGATTTTCGATGTTCATCTTGTATAGTTTGAAATGATGAATTTTTTAATGTTTCAATTTCGTGAATTTGTGATTTAAGATGATTATTTTCTTCTCGTAATTGTTGGATATTGATATCAAATTCATTTTGTTTTTCATTGATAAGTGTTGCCGTTTGCTCTAAATGTTCTTGCCGTTGATTTTCAAGTGTTTGTTTTAATTGAGCACAGTTAGTAAAAGATTCATCATATTCTTGTTGTAATTTTGTGAGAGAAGTTCTAAGTTGATTAACTTCATCATCTAGAAGGAAAACAAAGATATAGTACTGAGATTATTACTAAGAAAATAGGAAATAACTAATATCTTAACTCAAGAAAATTCAACCATGAAATTAAAAGGTTCGACAGAAAATCATAAGTATTTTATCCAGTACAGTTGTCATGGTAAGTGTCGTCCCTTTAAAGACGAAATTGATCTTTCTGGAGTTTGTAATTATTATACCACAAACTATATGCCGGTCGTCTGCAAAAATTGTTGTTTGCCTTTTCGAAGATGTGAATCGTCTGTTCACATCAAGAAAACTGGAATAAAACACTGATTCAAGATTGAATACGTGTTCATAAGCTCTTACAAAATGTTAATTGTAAAAATTTCTATTCAAAATTTTTGTACACAAATTGTTCGATTAAATTTTGATTCCTGGCGACAAACAATGACAAGAACAACTAATTATTTTATAAATGACAATAACTGCAGAACTACAGTTTTTTTTCTAATTAATTAAATGATCTCTTGCTTCGAAAGGAACTGTTCAGAAATCAGTGACATCAAGTCAATTTTTGCCCGTAGACACATATATTGACTCTTAGAGTATTCCGAACGCTTCTTTGTCGAGTTATTGAGTTCTTAAGTGAAGTCAATTTTGATGAAATGTTTGTGCCGGAGGGCTTTTTAGAAAACCCAATACGTGAAATAAGGAACGTTCTATTCCACCGAAAACTTCAAATTGAAAATTTTGTCATTTGATTGTTTTGGGACGATTCACTCAACTGATCATAACTTGGGAACAAAGATGTATGGGGACGAACTTTTTAAGATTTTTATTAGTTCTATCAACACCTCTTTCTGGGTTTAACATGAACTCAAACGGTCGATGTTAGTTGGAACAGGTCCTTCGTGAATCAGTACATTTTCTAAAAGAGCTGGATTATTACTTTAATGCCTAATAACTCTGATATCTCTATAGAGGTATACAGATGTCATTATTTGGATTTGTCACCAAATCAAATTTCATGTCAACTCGCATTGTTATTTTTCTCTCTGCATAACGCTTGAAATGGAGTCTTTCTAACCAGATTCATATAGAGATTCTCTGAGTCTTACTTTTCAAGTCTACAAGAGGCTGAGGTCTTTGTTATGTTCTAGCACAATCTGTATGGAAACAAAGTTTTCAATGGATATCAGAAGGGATTGGCTGGAAAATTCATTATTTCTATCTAAATAGTTGGTCTTTTTAAACTGAATACTAGGTAGTATTGCTGAAATAATATCCAAATAGCTCTTAAGTCTCACCTCGTTCAAAGAATCTGATGCATTCATTTTCAATATCTTCTCTTCGACTTATTAGCCAACATTAGATGATTGAAAGAAGGCATTTTTATCCGAATTTTTCTCAATAATTTCTGTTATTAATCAATAAATCATCACATAAAACGTTTTCTGTGAAAAATAAGGTAAGTGCAAAAAGTTTGCGACATTTTCTTATCGATATCAATAGAAAAATTTCAAAGAACTTTTTTTCATATAATATACCAAACGATGCAGCGTGAAAAGCTCTACAATTTGCGTAAGACTGCTTTTTTACAGTTGCACTTTTTGTTTTCAAAATCGTCAAAACTTCATGCGATCAAATTTCGACCGTGTGAAAACGATGTTTTTTTTCGGCACGAGATGGATTTATTTCATCTTTTGATCACTTCATATCTTTTATTTAAAAAAAAACAAAATGCACCAAAAGATGCAGCGTAAGAAGCTCTACAGTCCACCAAGGAAAGCTTATTTTAATTGTCTACTTTTTGTATAGAAAAAAAACCCAAAATTTTGTGCGATCAATTTTCGACGCTACGAACAGATAACATGAAAAGACATTTATTTTTTCTTATTTCATCATTTCATCTCATAATATGTTTTCGTAAAAAAAAACAAAATATACCACAAGATGCAGCATGGAAAGCTCTACAATATATACAGGTGATGAAAAGATGAAATAAGCAAAAAGATAATTTCTCATTCGTGTTATCTTTTCGCAGCGTCGAAATTTGGTCGCCCGAAGTTTTGACGATTTTGAAAACAAAGTGCAACTGTAAAAAAAAGCGGTCTTATGCAAATTGTAGGGCTTTTCACGCTGCATATTTTGGTATATTATATGAAAAAAAGTTCTTTGAAATTTTTCTATTAATATCGACAAGAGAATGTCGCGAACTTTTTGCACTTACCTTACTTGGTTCTGTCGTTTTCCGAAAGAAAGCATTCATTCGTATTAAAATGTTTAGTGTATTCTATGGTTATTAATGTTTAAAAAACTTTATCTAACCTAAAACTTGTTGTTTTGTTTGTTGTAATTGATTAATTTGATTTTCATATTCATTTTTAAGATGATCATTAGTTTTCAAATATTGTTCGTAATAAATTTCTTGAGAAACAGTTTGACGATCATTAATTAGCTGTTGAATCCTTTCAAATAAATCTGTTGATTCATTAGATGGAAGAATATTTTCAATATCTTTTATTTTTTCTCGTAAATGATCTAATTCTTCAGTTAAGTCTGAAATATTCATTTTTTGATTTGATAAAATAAGATTAACATCTGCATATTGATTTATATCTTGTTGAAATGTTTGAATTTGTTTTTGAAATTCTTCATTTGTTATTTCAAGTCTTGTTTTATCATTAATTAATTGTTCAATATAATCTGATTTTTCATTAAATTTATTTAATAAATTATCATATTTTTGTTTAATATCTTCATCGATTTTAATTTTTTGTTTTATTGTATCAAGTTCATGTTCAAGTTGTCGAACACAAAGATTTGATGATTCTAATTTTTCTTGTAAGCGTTGTTTATCTTGTAATAAAACACTTATATCTGAATCGAAATGTTCTTGAACTTCCATTGATGTTGCTGATATTCCGTCTGGATGACGATCCTCAAAATAAAAACTTTTATCTCTATTTTAATGTAAATTAATATTGAGTACTATCAATTCTATTCAAGTAAAAAATATAAAGAAAACAAAAAATAAACTATAAAGCTAACTATGATATTTCTATAGAAATTTAATGCACAAGTACAAGACATACAATATAAAGTAGCATGCAAGATGCATTAAAAGGTAAATTTTCGCGAGCTAATATTGTTATTGTGTTATTTAACCCACTCACCAGAATATTCCTTACAAAATGCTTCAAACTGAAATGATCTTCTCCTTTTGCAGTTGCCTATAAATATATATATGTCGAGAACATATCTCTTTAGTTTCTCTTATGTGTTTGGGTGTATAGTCTTATCTTTCTTTTTAGATAAATGGTAAAAGATAATAATTTAAAAAAAATTTACTTTCATCATAGAATCAATGACAGATTGTTTTTCATTTAATTTTTGAAAAAGATCATCACATTGTTTTACTAATTCAGCTTGTTTGTCTTGATGAGTTTTTATAACATCGTTACGTTGATTAAGTAATGCTTCAAGTTTGGAATTCTAAAATAAAACTCTAAAATTATTATAGAAGTTATACTTCGCTGAATATATTTTCTCGTTGAAATGAACAATAGAAATGATTTTCTTTAAACTTGCTTATCGGAAAATTCTCCAACTTATAAATCTTTTTTAAGTCAAGAGTATACGCATTATGTAGATTCCCAAAAGCTATGGATACTTTACCGTTCAAGTGCAGCCCATCGAACTCAATCATTAAGAATATGAGAAAAACTACTTGTAAAATTTTGACTTGAAAATTTACCTAGAGACAGTCCTTAACGTGAGTAGTTTAACGCAACAGATTCAGATCTTTTGATTTGCTTCTATTCTGAAATAAGAACATGAAATTTACCGGTTGATACGAGCGATGTAGAAGACGCTTTGTTACTACAATTGTATCCTATGATAGGAATAACGACAAAACCTGAAACCTTTATAATAAATTGTTCTCATGAAGATGAATATCTATGGAAAGTTTCAAGTCGAAATTTGAAAATCAGTTTCACTGTTACTACAGCATTCATTTAAAAAATATTGTAACAATGCAGTACCTCTGTAGCAATAAACTGACGACACGAACTCTTTTTAGGATATTTAAGAGTTTGAATCCTCTCTAGAATCATTGTCAGAAGTCTTCACTTTCTTACAACTTTTTTTCTGGTCAGATCACTATGACTAAGCAATGCAATGAAAAACATTTGAATGAAAAAAGAAACTTCTTCAAATTTCGAATACTATCCCATGATGTAAAGAATAAGAGAACAACGAATCAGTGTTAAACTATCAAATCATTACCAATTATTCTTTATAAATAAAAAATAAAATCGAACCTTTTCACGAAGTGTTTGCATTTCTTCATGATCTGTTTCATTAGGTAATTGAATGAGATCTTGTTGTGCAGTAAGCTAAACACAAACTAAATGTTTTATACATATATTACAAAAATCAATCATCTAACTTTTAATGTAAGTTCTTCAATTCTATTTTCTCGTTTTCTTATTTCTTTTTGATGCAAACATTCAAGTTGTTCTTTAGCTTGTCGATCAAGTTTAATCTGTTCTCGTAATTCTGAAAGCCGTTTTATTGATGTATCTTGATGCTTTTGTAAAATATTCTGATAACAAAAAAAAAACAACATATGATTGAAAAAAATACTTATTTAGTTTTACATACTTTAATATGTTCTTTTTCTCGTTCAACTTCATCATAAGCATTTTTTAATTGATTAAATTTATTCTTATAAATAGAAAGTAATTTTTGCATTTTTATCATTTTCTAGAATCACTAAGAATTCAAGAAAAAAGAATTTTTTTAAATATTTTAATTAAATTACAGTATTGCTTTCATGATCACTTTCATCACCACCATCACCACCATATTCAGATTCAATATCTGATGGTAGCATATGAATACGTTGTGGTGATACATAAGTTATACTAGCGTTAGGACTCTGACCAATACTGAATTGACTGATATCACTTGAAGCTGAATCTAATCGAGAACGATTGTTTTCCTGCATTAAAAAAAACGAAATTATGAAATAGACATTTCAAAATAAATAAACTTTTTCTTACAGAATTTTCATCTCGACTAGTAATGGAAGACGTTCGAGTATCAGAATCTCTTGCTATAGACGCCTAATTTGAAATAAAGAGAATAAATTTAATTGTGAATATTCTTCCTAACATACTGAATCTGATGATGAAATGCCCGGTAACAGAGTTTGATTTGTTTTAGTAACTTGATTTGCTAATTTTTCTTTTAAATTTTTAAACATGATGCGATGATTTGAAAAAAATCGGACAGAAAACAATCTTAATTATAGATGTAGAGCGTATCTTTTTTTTCTAATATGTTACTGGTCTTTTAATCAATTTTCTATTGGTCGTTTTAAAAATCAATCCGATTTTCCGAAACGATATCGCTAATTATGAAAAAATCAATTTAACTTGACATTATACATATGAAAATTTAGCAAATAAAAGACAATGTTCTAATCTTTCATCTTTTCTTTCTCCACAACTCAAACTAATGAGATGTCGCTTATAGACTAGATTCTATTAAAAAGATATGTAACTTTTCGAACGATTTTTTTACTTGTTTTGTAACATATTAGGCTTGTCAAAATGATTGTTAAATCGAGTATTTTATTAAATACCTCAGCACAGACATATTAAATTCTTGATTTAAAAAAAAAACATATTCCATCAAGTGTACTTAAATCAAACACATTGCCTTTGCTAATTTACATTTTTCTCCTATAAATAAATCTGTAGATTTCAAGATGGAATTCATCCCTTGGTTGCCTTTGAAATTCTCTAATAATTGTGTAGATATACGAACTTTTCTAATGCTCAATTTTTCAGTTTTTTTCACTCAATTATTGAAATTTTAACATCAATAAAAAAGATACCACTAATTCCTTAGAAAAAAAAGTAGCCTGTAAATTTTAGCGTTTCGATTGTGTTTGCACATAGTCAGTCTCTTGAGAAATACTTCACATGGATGCAAACTTTCTGTGAAGCACTTATTCAACCAGAAAAAAGAAGCTCAGCTGAGAGCCCATTGCTACACTGGAAATGTCATTCATAAGATATCAACTAAACAGATACGCAAATATTTCAAGCGAATTTTTCGGACTTTTCTTTAAAATTTCAAACTTCTGCAACATTACACATCTTTCTAGGACAGATCTATCGGTTCAGGAATGGAGTTTATGCATTTGACATAATAGTTTTGCCATGCGAATCATCGAAATTGATTAAAGTGTCGCTTCAGAGCAGTAAATGAAAAAGAATGGAATGATAAGGATCCAAATCTTTTGTATTACTTGTCATAAAACGTAATCATGAATTAACAACAGGCTCAATTATATCACAAGTCGAGTACTATTGTTCTTTTTTCCTTCGATGATTCCACTATATTGTTCCCTGATCTAGAAATCTTGAATATGGTTCCGTTGCTTAAAGACAAGATCATTTTTTGAGGTGATGTTGCCTGTATACCTACAATATTCTGCAAATTACAAATGGTAACTAACCTAAATATCACTCTTCTACTCAACCTCGCCATTAACGATTAAATTTCATCAAGTTCTATTATAAAGAATAATATTTTTACTCCAAGTCAGCACAAGTCCTTCCATAAAGAATGTATTACATCTCTTTCAAGTCAGTTATCGACTCCATTCTGATAATGACATGGTCTTCTCTTATTCGACACTATTTTTCACTTATCTTAAAACTTTTTCGAAATACTCTCATCTCATTCCGCCAAACCAATATCCATGTTAGTTGTCAACGCCGTCTAGGCGACCATTTTCAACCCGTCACACAGATAACAATGCTTTTTTGTTGAAACTGACCTCTTTCCAAAGTTCTACACCGATTCGGACTTCGCACTCACGACATCGCCTGATTCAATATTCTTTCTCAACAACGACACAGTTTTTGATCTCTAGAAAGCAGTTGTTTTCTGATTTCCTCGGACGAACAATTGACACATACAAACAAAAGACTTCGTCGGATATGATCACAAATCTGCTATCTCATTAGCAACTGATTTGGTGTATCTTATTCAGAAATCCACACTTTTCTGCATAGTTAGGGCGTGAATGTATATGTGCGTGGGGGATAGATGTGGATTTGGGTGTTGGTCTTCTCTTGGTCATTACCCACATCCGCACTGCGTATCCACACTCATACCCTCTAGAGGAATCAACATACGAACTATCGGGATGAGACGTTTGTACTACATCTTATGGGGCACTTAAACGAAGTTGAAAAGTATCATGGTCTGCTTGGCTCATCCTCAAGATTACCTCACCATATTGTTTATTGTTATTTTCTGTGTTATCATACTTTATGTTTGTTTTGTTTCACTTTCTTTCTTTCTTTTTGTTTGTTTGTCTGTTGTTATAATTTCATGAACAGATAAAGCTGGTCGGTGGTATCAAGAGCGGAGATATTAAATAGTGGCGCTACCTTCGGTCCACTGCCTTTCTTTTCTTTTATCTCCTACATCTGTCTGCCCCTATATCTCATCTTGTCTTTTCTTTCTCTCTGCCACGTGTGAATATGTATATGTGATTATTTCCTTGTTTGTCCTATGTAGAGAAAATAATAGTACAAGAAGGATTAGTCTGTAGACTAACGTGGTCTGTGAGTCAACGCATCCGGAAGTTATTTAGTGTCCATTGTGATTATTATATTCAACTGTGAACTATTCAACAATTATTATTATTGATTTTCATTTTTTCTTCCTAGCGCGTGTACGTGACAGAGGAACAACATTGTCAAATCAAGCAAGAACGCCATCGACATAGTAGTTTTTGTTCTCTCAATATCCGATTTCGAATTGTATATAATCCTCTTCGTTTAAATAGACATTATTGAACACAAATAGACCAATGTTTCGTGTTGGTCACAGCGAACGTCACTCGACATTGTTGATAAAAAGATGAGTATCCGTCATGGGTCCTAGGACGTTTAGCCCAGCTGTAGTAAACAAAATAGCATTAATGTCGTAAGTGTCTGCGAATGGGACAATGAAACGAATGCAGGCAGCTATTCACATACTATGGTATTTTCATTGTTTAAGCTAAACGTCTTTACGCTTCGTGAAAAGTGTTTCGTAAGCGATGTTTTGCTCGGACCTGGATGAAAGAGAAGCTGATCCGATGCGAGATTGTACTCGTCAAATCCATATTGGTAGAACTTGTCCTTGTTCATATTGTGCATAATGAAACCCATGCTATCAAATTGGTTCGAAAAAATATTGGCATAAATTGCGACACCAGCCATTCGTGGATACGTATTATAATATAGTCTTTGTACACCTGGAATAAAAGATGATCGACGAGTTATAGAAAGCCAAAGGACCATAGTCTATTGAGATTCTGACCATTGAGAAATACATTAGGTTGATAGACGGCTCTGCTCACATTGTTTGGTGGAGAACTAACATGAAGTACAAGATCTACTCTCTTTTTCTTTCTTTTTTTATGACTGACAGATGTGAATGGCTTTACTTGATAGCATGAATTTCAGGCAAGAAGTAGACATTTTATTTGGCATTCTTCAGTTTCGAAGTCATGGCTTTCACTTTAAATATTTATCTTGTGCACATCGCGGTGCATAAACTACAGTTCATACAAGGAAGTAAACAAGCTGTCATCAGTCAGTAATGGCTTATTACTCTTCTTTTTTCCCTTCTCTACTCTTCCTCTCCGTCACTTGACTCACTATTCACATACATGCGAGCAATGATTTTGGAAGGCTGCCATGAACTCGAAGAGAGTACAAGTACGGTTTTAAGAATTCTTGTTGTAGCATATAGGAAAAAAGACGAGAAGATGTACGTGTGTATAAGTTATTAAAGAAAAAACCAAGAGAGAGAGAGAGAGAGAGAGACGGACATACAGTTTATTCATGTAGATGGTTGATAAACGGCTTATATGTGCAAGCAGATGAGCGAGTGCGTGGGTGTAGGCTGTAGAATTGATTCTTTCGTGCATCCATATCTACATTTCCACCCCTACTCTCACCCCCACATACATCAACGCACACATCCCACCCTTGTTAGCATGGCTTTTGATGTAAGTGTCTGCAGGTCTACTAGTCAACCATAGCAAATCCAAACACAACCACGAAGACAGGCTACTATTGCCAGTTTATAGAATTTAGAAAAGAAAACTCTACACAAATATGGAACTTTTAAAATTTTGTATTATGTCACTTTTTAGTGCATGATGCGGCAGCTGTTTTAGCAAAGTCTAAACCCTCTTTGTGCTCATATTGGCATATCTACACCAATAAAAGCGACTTTACGTTCTCTATTGTGAAAAGGTGTACCTCAGACACTTCAGACTAGTGTCCTTCGAGAGTATGATTTTTACGGCCCAAACCCGACCCTCTTATACTTGGACACGAACTGGAGTTCATTATTATCCGAAAATGTGTTCCACAGTCATAGTACAGCTTTCAAGATTTAACTATATATGAAATAGCACACTGTTTAGGTTCTTCTGTAAACAGCAGCAAAAGAAAACTCGTTAGTGCTGTCCAATTGGAGCTGAAACTTTGAAGACACACCTTTTCATTAGCTTCATAAGTGTATTAAGAGATGATTCGCGACAGCATCGCGTAGCAGACCACTATACGAGATACTCGATAAAAATCTTTTTTTAATTGTTTTGTTCATTCAGAGAATCAATGTCTGAAACCATCAACTCCAAAATTTTACCGTCTAATACCTTTCCTTTGAAAAGTTAGTCAAGATCGATTTTTTAGCATTGTCATGACTCCGATGAAAAAACACATAAAAAATGCTCCATAACAGTTGTACTAGATTGGGTGTAATATGAGATATGGATGTATATGTTGTGAGTGCAGATGAGTGTTAATGTTTGTGAAAAGATGACCCATTCTCGCATTAATAGCAACACCTACATTAGTCATGCAAAAAATCACTGAGTTTTTATAAGATAAACCTAAGATATTCAAAGGTTTTCCAGAAAAGTTCCAAAAAAAATAAATGTTGACTATTTACTTCGAAGATTTTTTTCGTATGTCAATATGCCGTCGAGTGTTTGCTATCGATATGTGAAAATCTTCAGGTTTTTATTTCTTTCCATTGTAGAGTTATTCAAAAACACAGCCACTCCATTGCTTTTTGATAATAATAGTAATATATATTGAAAATAAGAATAGTACAACACCTCTATTAGCTGTTATATGAAAATTTAGAATGAAACAACCCTATATCAATATTTGTCAT